GAAGGGACTTGTAATGTGGGCCCCACACACTAGAACTAAATTCAGATATCATTCAATAAACTCTTGTATACTGTTCTGTCTCCCATTCTTGGTGGCCTGAGCTATGGGTGGTGGGCATGTTGGGGAGGTAAGAGAAGGGTGGCAACTTCAGGAATATGGCTTCTTGCCCTAGAACTCCCCAGTCAGACAGAACACTGTCCTTACTACCTACAAAAAATAGGAAAAGAGCAGCCTTGCTCGTGGGGACTTTGCTGGTTCCAAATGCTGTTTCGAGCTAAAAGGCTGTCAAATAGGACAGTCTGTTTTTCAGTCCTGAAATCACACCCAGAAACTCTCACACAGGAGGAACTTGGGGGACAGGGGAGTTCCCTCCCCTCCTCCCTACGTGTACCCAACAAAGCAACCTTTAACCTTCCCTTTACCTTCAGAACCTTTTTTCATCACCGGTTTCTTCTATTCAAAGCCAAGTAGAGATAAGAAAGTGCAGCAGGATTAGTAAAACTCAGGGAATCTTATGAAAGACATGCTTCCCAAGCCATAGCTCAACGCTTCACTTAGGGCAGGGATTGGGCCAGTGCCAGCCCCATGCAGCCATGAACTCACTGGATTGTAGAGGCCATAACACCTCCAAATGGCTGTGATTTCTTTATTAAATAAACGATCAGCCATTAGGAGCCTGTTGTGTTGCCATGCAGAGGGGAAACCATCAGCATCAGGGATCATCATTTTACACTGTGGGTTCCGAGGCTTGGCCATGGGCTTGGTCTGGTCCCTTGAGCAATGCAGATTCCAGGCCCTCTTTTTTTTGAAGGTGCAGCAGGCTTCCTTTGCTGTGTGGCAGCCTGGATGGACATGCTCAGCTTCTCAGGATACTTCTCTGGTCCAGCCTCTTCACAAGTCTGGCTTTGATGACCAGGAGCTACTCTCATAGCTAGGGCTTTTAAACCAGGCCAGGTAGGTACATGAGTTGCCTGTCATGGTCCCAATCCATCTCAGGAACAATCTGCTGAACAACACCACCTGACAGCAGATGAGGCAGGTCTCAGAGGGCAAGGCTGGACAGGGAGCAAACAGAAACTGTCTGTAGCCTCAGGCACTGCCCATTGCCAGAGTTCTTGGAGGGATTTTAGACCCATTGAAAATTATTGTATCTTGGAAGTTTCTCAGCTTTGGTCATTTTAGCCCAAGGGTCCGGTAGGATTTTCATAATGATGTGGCTTCCTTTGGTCTCTCCATAAAGTTGTCTGAGCCTGAGCTGTGACACAGTCACAACCAGGCCTTCTGTTGGTAGCTGCAGCCCCTGCCCAAGGCCTGCAGAAGACACTGCTGGTCAGGTAAACATTAGAACAGGACTGTGAACAGCAAGCCACCTTCCAGAGCCTTCCACTCTGGCTGGGGTGACTAGGTGTTGATATCCATCCAACTCAGAGAATACAAGAAGGAGGGTGGGTTGCTGTGAAGCACTGACCCATTTTGGAGACTGAATGGTGAGGCATCAGAAAGCTGAAGAAGCCATTAGTCCACTCTAAAGCCTAGAGTCTGCAGGGATCCCCCTGCATCTCCCAGGGACGCTGCCTGGCATGGGGATGCCCACTTGTGGCAGACATACTCCTCCGCCTCAAACTTCCTTGAACGTCAGACATCTTTTTCCGTGCTCTTTTTAAGACTAAATAAAGACATAGGAGAAACGCGCCAAGAAAAGTGGGGCGTGAAAAGAAGAAATACTGTACATGGACGGATTAACTCATGGCTTTATCAACTGGAGACTCAGCAGGACAGCAAGTCATTTCTGGAAGGAGGTCAATGCCTTTTGTTGTTGGCACGCAGTGGGGAGGAAGCCTGTGAAATCTGTGGCACAGTTAGGGGAAAGAGGAGCTTGGGCTTACCCCAAGTTAAGTGGAATCCCAACTTCAGCAGGACTAGGTTAGAAATAACTAGATAAGAGTTGACTTTTATGCAAAAAGCTGCCTGAATAAGTCTGAAGTGGAAGGTAGGAAATAAGGTGGGAAGGAGCAAAGGCAGTTCCCACAAAGAGGGAAGAAGACACAGCTATAGGTCTTGAAGCCAAGGGGGCAATCAGCAATTCTACACCAGGCCCAAGGAAGGCAAGTTCCAAGGATCTGAGCTCAAGTAGCAAGAACAAAGCCAGCAGGCTGGCTGCAGGCAGCAGAGAAAAGACACATGCAGGATTTTAAGTATCAAAGCCACAAAGGCTGCTTCCAGGCTCAGGTTCTACCAGTCTTGAAAAGAGCAGGTGGTCCTAGGGCTAATGACAGTTATGTACATTATTATGAAGTCTAAATGGAACCAAAGTACTGGCTGTACCTGGATATCTGGATTTCTTTATATGGTATCCAGACTGAAAATGCTTATAATACTCAGTTAAGTTAAACAATTCTTATGCTGTTATTTTAATAAGGTTTATTTTCATTGAGAAAGCACTTGAGATGAGGGCTGCAGCTCTGCCTTGCTCGCTTTCTGTCCATCAGGGCTGACTTAACCAGCAATTTGCAGAGTGCTTGCTACAGGTTGCTGGGCCTGGGGGCCTGACATGATAGGGGGAAACCAGGCTTCGCAAATCATGCTGGGAAATGCCATACAACTGTAAGGTGGTTTCAAGGTGTTGTATGGCAGTCTCCCAGGAGAGGGATTGAGAAACCCACCCTTGAAGATGACTAAAAGGCCAGGGCCAGGGCCTCCTGCCTGACAGGTCCCTCGCCTCAGCGACCGGCCTGTGTTGTCCTGAGCCTGGATGGATGGAGGTGTTTGTATTCTGATCTTGCAGGCAGCTTTTCTTCTCCACTCCCTGCCTGTGGGTCCAGAGAAGGGAAGTAACTTGTCCAGGGTTACACAGCTAACAACATAAGGCTGGGCCCTGAGCCCATTCTGCCCAAAGAACAGAAGCTGCTGTGCACAGACATGGGCTCAGTGTTTTCCTGAAAAGGCCTTTCAGTGAGCTTGATCCAGGCTCTGTGGCTCTGGTTCAAAGATGCCCCACGAGTTGCTGGGGCTCCGTGCTGAGCCAGTCAAGAGGAGGTGAGAAAGTCAAACAGACCGTCAATGCTGCTTCTCCCCCAGAGCCCCGGAGTGGGGGGGGGGGGAAATCCAAGGAGACACTGTTTGTACAGATTTGGGGTTTCACACAAGACAAGAAGAGGTGGCTCTGTGGATTCTTGCTCTTCCCTTGGGTGATCCATTAGTAACCACTTCATCCTCAGAAACGTGTCCCAGTGCACGTTACCTCCAAATAGTCCCAGCCTGGCCAGCACAGCGCACCTCCCTCGCAACCCCCCCCCCCCCCGACTCCTTCAAGCAGGCCCCGCTCTTCCTCTCCTGCCAGGCACACTTGGCTTCCTGACAGTACGGCTCATCTCTGTGGCTGTCATACTCCTCACCCGCTCATTCCATTCCGGACACAGCCCCTGTAAGTCTGTTAACTCTGCTTTGGGGGCTCAGCGTGTTCATGAGATTTGTGGGCAACAAGGGAGCTTCTGGCTTCATCTGGCTCACTCTCATACCTTCACAAGTTGTCCTGTTGCACTTGGTAAAAGCAAGTGCTCGGACCTTGCTCTCAGGCTTGGGGGGGGGTTGTCACTGAAGCAAGGGGTGCATTTGCAGGTGCGTCTCCCCAGTCCTCATATCACACTCCAAGGTGGGTAGAGGATCTGTGCACCTGTTTCTAGATGGGGAGCACACACGGCAAGATAAGTTGCCTGTGGTCACACCGCTGGCAAGTACTGAAGTTGTCCTTGCTGTTCACTGTATTTCAGCTTCCAGAACTTTCCATTCCTCTGTGAAGCAGGACCAGGTAACTAGTTCTGATCAATGAATTGTGAGCAGGGGCCGTGGCTAGTTTCTGGGCTGAATGTTTTATTGCTGGCCTGTGAGCTTCCAGAGTCCCCTTTTCTCTGCCAGTGTTCTCAGTGGACATCTACTGGCCTGGGTTCTGAAGTGCAGAGATGGGGTCAGAGCCAAGCAAGTGTCTGGACTCACGGGTCCCAGGCCTTTCCAGAGCACCGAGGTCCCAGGAAATAACAGAAGGCCAGGCTGCACCTTGGCTCTCTTCCTGGTGCATTTGCGTAGTGGGAGCCCCAGGTTGTGTTCTGTTCAGGAAATGCCCAGGACTCCTCTTCTGGCAGTTGCCTCCCACAGGCTTGCTCTCTCCTCAGTGAGACCAAGTGCTCTGGCGACTGCTGTCATTAATCCTAATTGCTTCTCCTCTTGATGGGAAGGGCAGAAGTAGGCCAGCAGCTCGCCTTGCTTTCCATACAGAAAGGAGAGAGGGCATGATACCTGGCCCTGTGTGCCTTTCTAACTCAAACCCACCATCCTAATGGCCTGGTATCCTTCACACGCCCTCCATCAGCCTGGCCTGAGACACACACACACAAGACCACAGATGCTGCAGACATGCATGCACACATGACTGTCAACCCCAGAAGATACAGTGCTCCCCTCACTTTATAACCCCACCTTTATCTGACCCCTAAACAGGGGCTTTACTACCTGATGGCTCTCCTAGTCCCTACTTGAGCACAAGACTGAATTCTAGCTGCTTTTAGAAGGATGCTTCAATCTAGAGAAGGAGGTTGACTAGGCATTGACTGAGGCAATGAAGATTGTGTTTCCAGGTCTGGAGGCAGAGCCCAAAGTGGAGCCAAGAACTACTTGCGAGCAAGAGCATACAGCACCAGTGGGGGGCCTTGGGCAGGGCAAAGTGACAGGTGGACACACTCAGACATGTCCAGGGGACCACCTCTCCCACATGGCCCTCATCTCATTCACCTGGATGTCCTGGACACACAAGTCACGTGACTTTCACAAGCAGACCAGACACTGCTGAGAGGACAACCAGCAGACTGTGAGGGTGGCAGAGACCACTTGAGGGGCATTTAGCTAGACCACATGACCAAGGTAGAAAGCAGAGGGCTGCACGGGACCAATGCTTAGGCAGCCCGCAGAGCTGCTCAGCTTTGTGGGCCCTCCTGAAGCAAGGCACGTCCAGAGTCCGGGTGCTTTGGAGGAATTTATTGAGAGCAGGTGTTGTGTACCAAAAGGGTGCGGGCTTTCTTCCGTCACTGGCAGGTGTCACAGCGGGTGGTCCCTTTATTGCTATCGGTTGGTTGGCCAGACTGCAACAACCACAATAGCCACAAGCAGCAATAAAATCACCATTATCATCCCTGAAAGAGAGAAACCAAACATACCTCTTAATGATTCAGACCAGAAAAGTGTTGTACAGTGTGTGGAGGATGGGCAGAGAGGGTGGTGGGCACAGGTGGCCCGCAGGCTGCAGGATGCAGCAGGTAGCCCTCACCACCTTGCTGACTGTGCCAGAGACCTGGGGGCCAGGTGAGAAGCCTTGGAGGAGAGAAGGAGCAGCCTCCTCACTCTGGAGGAGGTGGAGGTATATTGACCCATGGCTCCATCCTTGGCAGGTCACCGGGACCCCAAGGATGGCGGAAGTTACTGAGGACGGCTACCTCTGCTGCCCACTTGGATTCTGCATTGACAACACAAAGGGCTTAGAGTTTTCAAAACTACAACTCTAGACTTCATTGTCTCCTCCATCCACGGAGCTTTACTTCATCTTCTTGAATCAGATCCCCCTCCAGAGGGGCTAGCCCCTTCTGGATTAGTATTTTCTAGCATTTTGGGTTAGAGACTATGAAGGGCCCTCAAGTCTCGCTCTGCCTGCCAGCCTCACCCCACCACCTGAGGCCATTGAGTCTACACTCATGACTCCCGGCTTCTCACAGAATGCTGAGGACATGGACTTGGGGGAGCGAGGTCCTTCAACCAGGGAGGGCAGACTCCATGTGCACTGGCCCAGCAGGAACCACAGAGACTTGCCCCACCCACGTGCCTGAGGCAACCGCAGTGTAGCCTGACAGCCAGGGTGAGCGGCTCCAAAGCAAGGAGCAGGGAAAGCTTGCTCACCAAAGACTCTCAGGCCTACTGAGGCAAGTGAGAGCAAATGAGGAAAAGTAGGGGAACAGGGAGGGCCAGACACCTGGGACACGGGGAAGGCAGGGGCAAGACTGGGAGCTGCTTCAGAGAGTAAGTGGAAGCCCTTACTGTTCACAGGAGGTGTTGGCTGCACATCCCTGATCCCAACAGCTCCAGCTGCACTCTAGCAACTCGCCACACCCCGTTATTACGCAGAAATCCATGAAGATGATAAAGTGAACATTTCACCTCCTCAGCTGCCCTCAACCCTACTTCAAGTGCTCAGTAATCTGTATCTCGGCCGTGATACAGAGACTATTTCCACTACATCACAAAGTTGCACTGGGGGGCGGGGGTGGGGGGAGAGAATAGGCAGCAACAGTGGGGTTACTGGCACCCTGCAATGGTGACTGGACTGAAGGCAGACTTGTTGAATAAATGCTCTGGCTACACCCAGGGAGTTCTCAGGAGGTTGTGCCTTCTTTTCTTGCATTGAGTTTATACAACTATGTTTCTTGGAAATTGTCATTTTTTTTCTGATACTTGAAATTATGGGCCTAGAAATGCTCAATACAGTTTCATAAATTCAACTGAGGTTCTTCTTTCCACTTATTGTGTGTGTGTGTGTGTGTGCGCGCGCGCGCGCGCATGCACACGCAGGTGCCAGTACTGGGGCTTGAACTCAGAGCCTTGCACTCTTGCTTAACTTTCCACTCAAAGCTGGTGCTCTACAACTTGGGGCCACAGCACCATGTCCAGATTTTGGTGGTTAGAGCTAAGAGTCTCACAGACTTTTCTGCCTGGGCTGCCTTTGAATCAAGATGCTCAGATCTCAGCCTCCTGAGTAGCAGGGATTATAGGCGTGAGCCACTGATTCCTGGCTTCTTTCCACTTGTAATACTACTTACCTAGGCATTCTCTTGCATGGCCATCTAGTTGACCACACCTGTGTTTCTTTTTATTAATCCCTTCTGAGAACATCATTTGTCTTTGATACTCTCTCACTTCTTCATTTTCTGCTTTTATGGTCATTACTCCTATTAATAGACTTTCTTTGGATTAGTATTGTTATTCTTTCTCCAATTTCTTACGCTGAAATTAAGTCATTCATTTTCCATCTGCCATTTAACTATTATGTCTATAAGCCTCAAGTTTTGAAATGGAATAATTTCCATTAGTGTCTAAGTTCTAAATATTTAAATATACTCCACAGTGATTTCTTCTTTAGTCCAATCATTATTTAGAAATAGGATTTAATATTCCTACTAATAGTAAGACATGCTTATCAAAATGTGTATACACACAGTGTGTGTGTATATATATGTATATATATACACATATGTGTATATATATATACACACACACACACATACATACTTTGGCAGTCAATAACATATATTTTTCTAGAAAGACTGGATCTCTCTTGGTGACAAAGTGATCACAAATCCTATTAATGAAAATACTGTGGTTTGTTGACTACTTGTACTTGAAGAAAATGCTCAATCACAATAAGACAATATTGAAAATAAGAATGCAAGGTGCCTTTCCAGCCAAGTTCACAGACTTTCTGAACTCAGTTTAAGGGTTCAATAGATCCTGGGTAATGGAAAATTTAAAACCAACTCGTGAGCATAGCTTACTGATGATTTCAAACACTGAAAAGGAATTGAAACACATGGTAAGCTCCTTGTCATTTGCCTGAGGTGAAAGAGTTGTTTAAACACGATTCTTTTTCTAGAGTGAGGAGTGTGGAAGAGCAGGGTCTTGCTATATAGTTCAGGCTGGCTTCAAACTTACCATCCTCTTGCCTAGAATGCTAACATTACAGGTGTGCAGCTACCTGTACATTTCCATATCCAGAGGACCCCATCTTTCCCAAATCCCTCTTCCCAAGGACCCTTTCAGGGTCTCTGCCCCTCCTCTGGTTCTGTCTTCACAAGATACAGCCTAAGCCTCTATACTATAGACCTGCAGCCTGTGGTCCATGGACCAGTTCTAACTGTAGTCTCTTTTTTTGTAGTCGATGAGCCAAGACTAACTTTTATGTGTTTGAAGAGTTGTCAAGAAAGTGAAAGATGCTGTGACGTGCTGTGTGTGGTCTGCAAAGCCTAAAACATTTTGTAGATAAAACGGGGCCCTGCTGTGCAGCACAGAGACAGACGACGACTCAGCTGTGGCACCAGTTGGCTCCTATCTCCACTTACTTCATCTAAGGAGCTCCTTTTATTTGGGGGGATGGGGTGTTCAGGGGTGGCAGTGGGGATTGAACTCAGGGCCTCTTGCTTGTTAAGCAAGTTTTCTCTATCACTTGAGCTACACTCCCAAGCCTATGTTTTTAACTTTAGGCCAGGATCTTTCAAGGCCTGGACTGAACATGCAATTCTCTTACCTCTCAAGTAGCTGGGATTACGGATGTGCACCACTTTGTCCAGCAAAGGATTTTCTTCCTTCTTGTAAACTTCTCTATGATCTATTTTGGAGTGTAGCTATAATATTTTAGCTAGCACTTAAGACTGTTGCAATGAGAAGGGGTGTGTACCAGCATCTTAGTACCATCTCTGTCTTAGGCCAACTTCTTACCAGAACCAGAGTAGCAAGTCATTTCATCCATTTCTGTCTCTAGAAACACCTTTAGGGTGGCCAGCTCTCCAAAGCAGGAGTCCTACTACTTCTTGGTCATTCTGCTATGTGTGCTTGGTTGAGAGGAGGGGAAGGTTTATGTGGTACGTGGAGGTGTTATTCCTGGTATTCTAGGGCCTAGGTTCACCTATGGGAAGGGGAGGAGCTGGCTGCTTGGGGAATCTACAGATGAGTAGAGACAGTTTGGAAGACACCCGGCTGCTGTGGCTCAGGCTCACAGTGGTAAGCACTCTAGGCTGCCTTGCTCCGAGTGCCATGTAAGCCCTTGAACAAAGCTGGGATGGCCCAGCTTGAAGCCATGCTCAGTTTACAATGAGGATGATGATGGGAAAAGCAGAAAAAGTGATGAAAGAAATCAAGAACTAATCACAAAGACAAAAACCAACAGCAAGTGCCTCACAAGGGGGGGAGGCGGGCACCCAGGGCTCCAATGGCTCCCTCTGCACTCTAGCCAACACTCTGTGCTCCTGCCCACCCCCTTGCTTCTACACATGCCTCCCTTTCTTCCTGGAGGTCTCTTGTTTGGGTCTAGTTAGTCCCCCAAACCTCAGTATGAGTGTGGCTTCCTTGAAGATTGTCCTGGTAAACTCCTGCTAACTGGGCTCATTTCATCCCTGTCTCCCAAGTAGCCTGTGTTTCCATCTCTGAGTGGGTGCCCCATTTCTGCCACGTGAGAATCTTACATAAGGACTGTCTTCTCATTTCCTACCACATACCAGTGCCTAGCACAGAGCAGACACAAAAGAGTAAAGCAGGGTCTTTCTAAAGTAGAGAAGGCTAAGCCTGCTGGCCATGCTCAGTTCTATTTTCTACATGAGGAAGCAGGGTTCTGGAAAGCCAGCATGGGAATGTAGGCCTGTACCACTGAGTCTGGCTGGGGGTCCTGTGGCCCAGAAGAGCCTGAGGTTTAGAAGGCAGAAAGGCCCCAAATCCCAGGGGCTGAAAACCTGGGATGGGGCTTCTTTTCTCTCCTCCCTTTCCACTTTTTATGGTGGGAAATGGACAGAAGGCTATGCTGACCATGACAGACCTTCATTTAGCTCTTCAAGGGTCAAATCCCTGGCCTGTCTGGTTGCACCTGTGCCCTCACTCCCTCCGTCTCCAGTGGGCTAAATTCGGAAGTACACCCCTGCTTATTTCTCTAAATGTCACTGAAAGATCAGCGTGCTGTAATACAATCAGCACTGTAATACAATCATGGAGGCTTGATATTTCCTTGAGACAGACACAGACAGGGCTCCAAACTTTCAGACCTGGGAAAGGGCTTCCAGCTTCCAGGCTGAGTAAAGCCCATCCTGCTCAGTGGTTCTGGGAAGAAGCCAAGCTGGGCTGCGTCAGAGGTGAGAGATAGAACTGCCCAGCGAGCAGGCCTCAGGGGGATCTCATCGTCCATCCTTCAGCCAAGGAAATGTTTGACATTTGGGAACGAAAAAGAGAGTTGAACTTCTGGGAAGCTGCCAACTCCTAAACAATGAGTGTTCTCTGCCCCGACCCCAGCATGGAACACACCTGGAGGAGGCTCTGGACTTCAGAGTTGCGTTTGCTCTGGTCTTCACTCAGCTCCTGCCCTGGCACCGCCAGCACCTGGCAGGGC